CTCAAACCAAAGTTCCTCTCTATCAAGGATGTGCACATCTTCATCCCTGAATGAGTGACAGCTGGCTTGCAGATGAGTATAAACCACAGAGTCTTGGCCTGATGATGTTGCTCTTCTGTGCTGGGCCATCCTTTTGGCCAGTGGCTGTTTATTTTTTCTTGAAGTACAACTGATCGCATCCCTCCTGGCACTGAACAGCATACGCAATATGACTCTGTGTCGGGGGACTGGATCGTTGGAATGGACCAGCTGTTGCCGTAATGTAGTTTGGGGATTGAAAGCCACTTGGACGTCATCTTTAGAAAATAAAAGTCTCAGTTTCTCTGAAACTCCTGCAACATAAAAAATGACCACTGGTCTAGGTCTGGGTTATCAGCAGGGCAATGCAGGGCACTTTTGTTCTAGTGCTGGAATGTACCTCGTCGTCTCGATCAATTAAGAAAAATCTTGTACAGTGATGGCAAACGAACCAGCAACTTTTTAAAACCTAGGATACCTTAAATTTAAACTTCATTTGGGTGATAAATGAGAACTGCCATTTCTGTTTTTAATATACACGTTTTGTTGTCCATCAACAGGATTACGAAAAACGAATGTGCTTGTACCACAGTGTTTGTGCTTTGTTTTAGGAAACGTAGGTAGATCGATGAATCCTATATTGTTGAGAAATCAAATTTCATGCATATCCAGAAAAGTCTTTGATTGATTTGACGTGATAAGTCTTCCAAAAATGAACAGGCATTTACTGCTGCTACGTTAGAGAAGTTTCAGACTTTGCTTGTTTGTCAAACGTGTGAAATAAGATCTTTTGTTTTTGCATTAAAGTCTATATCCTTGTTTATTCATATATTCTTTTCTGAAATTAGGAGCAATGCTAATAAACTGTTTGTTAGTATAGGGCCATCTGCAGAAAGTAGCTGTGTTGTTGTGGCCGAGTGGTTAAGGCGATGGACTAGAAATCCATTGGGGTTTCCCCGCGTAGGTTCGAACCCTACCAACAACGCTGGAACTAAACTCAAACGTGTGCCTTGAGCAACAAAAAAGGAAGGTTTTCGGTTTCAAATGTTAACTCTTTCTTTAAACATCATGGCAATAGCGTACAAGTACCCTAAAGCGCCATTGTAAATGTTTCATGTCATTTTTTCAATGTTCTTTAAAATATATAATGCTACAACATGCTTTTAAACATGCAAATTGAGCATGTTTTCTTTCCTGGGTCAATATGTATTCCATGAAAATATGCTGCTTGTGACTACTTGTCATTCTTTCATCTTTTCCTTTCTATATTTGAGGGTAAAGTTGTGTCCACATACTTAGATCTCCACTTCGCTCACGTGGTTGTTGTGGCCGAGTGGTTAAGGCGATGGACTTGAAATCCATTGGGGTTTCCCCGCGTAGGTTCGAGCCCTACCAACAACGCAAGAACTTTGCAACACTATGTTTCCAATGCAAATAAGCCGAAGTGTGGCTTTTCAAATGCGATGTCAATTTTAAACAGAATGGCAATAATGTACATGTGTTCTACAGTAAGTCCTTGCAAAAGTTTCATATCAATATTTCAACTTTCCTACAAAGTATCATGCTACAACATGCTTTGAAAAAATACAAATTGAACATGTTGCCTTTCCTTGCTCAATATGTATTCAGTGAAAACATATAGTTATGACAATTTGTTCTTTTCCTTTGCATTTTTAGGCTAAAGTTGTGTCAGCATACTTGGAATTCCATATACCTAGAGTGGTTGTTGTGGCCGAGTGGTTAAGGCGATGGACTAGAAATCCATTGGGGTCTCCCCGCGAAGGTTCGAATCCTTCCAGCAACGTTCAAAGTTTTTTTATTTTACTTGACAGCAGTGGCAAAAAAAATGCTCCATTGTCCTCGCTCATGTAAAAACAATGCAGGGTACCTTTACTGATGCATGCTCAAGAATCCACATAGAAAAAACTAACAAAGGTAAGTCAGGTCCTCTGAACTCATGCAAAAAGAAGCAAAACAAATACATAAATAAATTGTTGAAACTTTTCATCTTGTATCCAAAAGACTTTGTCAGTCTGAGGAGCTGTATTAAACTCAGTCTTATAAGTAGCGCCTTCTCAATCAACCAGTTTGTTGTTCACATTTACAACTAGCTGTTCACATGATAAAGGAGGACCATTAGCCTAGCAGTTGGTCCTTAATGCCCTGATGGCCACGTCCTATTCACAGGGGGCTGAGTAATACTAGTAATAGCATTGTAAGAGGGGTGCAGTTGAACACGGAGGCCTCCGCCCATGTTTAATGATGGACAGTTACTTTTCACAAAGATGGCTTCCTTTACTCCT